GTAATGACTATAAAGATGTTCAGTCCAGTTCTGGAAATGAACCTCCTTAGGACATTCGATTACTTTATATCAATTTAGCTCTTCTCTGATACAAAATTTATGGCCAATTAACTCATTTCGTTTAAATAACATTAAAACCCCACAAAATCTAATACAAATAAAAATTCTCTCAGCTACATAATTTAATTAGATATAATGATATAAAAATATATTTTCGTTAATTTTTTTTATTTCGAAAATGTTTTATATAACTTAACAATAAAACAGCTATAGCACCAATGAAACTGAAATTTTTCTTAAAAGTTATAATAAAAAGGAATGAGATCTCCGAATAACCACTCAGAAAAAAATATTCACTGTTATGTTTTAAAGTCGAAGTGTACAATAGATCTGTCACCTTCGTAAAATTAATTATTTTACTGATTAATTTCTTTTTTAAATTTACAACTGCAATAAAATTTTGTAAATAACTGTACAATTTATTTGTATGAAATTTCCATGGCTTGTAATTGACAATCCATAGGACTACGAAACCATTTTATTATAAGTTCACCAGAAGGTTCAGTGGCCATCTTTTTTTTTTTTTTATCGTTGTCGGGAATAGATTGAGATGGCTGGTTACAAAACAGTGTATTCGTGTAGATTTTTTGAAGTTTTTTTTTATTAATGGGGTACCTATTTTTGACCAAATCTAAAACATGGAAAATATCAACTCCTTTATGGATGATTTTATTTGTGGAACAATAGAAAACATTACGAAATTTTTGTAAGTGACCAGGTTTCATGTGTCGACCAATTGTGGTTAGATTCTGTGCGAATCGTCACTAATATATATGGTATATTCATATACATTCGTGAATGTAAGGTTATTATTTTTTTCAAAATCTTAGACAATAGTCATTTTCATTTTTCGGTCCAAGGTCCATCGTACAGTATTTTACGTTCCATTGGACGAAAAATCCAAATCAATGTGTATATAGAAAAATGGATTTTCAGGAAATCCTACTTCCCAGAATATTAAGACTCAAAAAGTAAATGACTTTCGAAAAGGTTACTGAAAAAATTAAAATTAAATCTGTTTTTTGAATCGAACAAATAGGATAGTTGTAATTGACCTCACTATCAGATTAAGATAGTAATTTTCTTCGTATTTTGAACATCGAATTTTCGAATTATAAAGAAGTACACGAATCCGACTTTAGAGACTGGAAATGGTGGACAGGAATTGTTTTTAAAAAAAAAAATTTGTAATGACCGTAAAGATGTTCAATCCAGTTCTGGAAATGAATCTCCTTAGAACATTCGATTACTTTATATGAATTTACCTCTAGTCTAATTCAAAATTTATGACCAATTATCCAAAACGTAGACGTACCGTTTCAAATTTGTAGGCCATATTAGATCCAGTGTTATTTTCGATCATCGAACAAAAACTGTTTTTATATGAGACCAGATAATTAATTTTTTTTTTACTTATAGTTTTTATTTTGGTCGACACAGGAATCATGAAATATTCGTGGATGACTAAGAAGCTAAATTACGTTCATTTTTCAATAACAGTTTTTGAACGAAATGATGTTATATAGAGCAAACATCATCAACTCCTTTTTTGGCCATGATTTGATCGTTGGTGTAAAAAACTGTGATAGCTTCGGAAGATATGTGGACCTTAATGTTTAGGATATTAAGTAGGCGTTTGTAATATGTGTCATATGTTGTTATATTTGAGACTAACCAATTTTTTTAGGGAGAAATCCATCCACCTCTACCTTCAGGTCGATATTTTTCCATAGTAATTTACGTTACCTTACCAAATAAAAAATTAAGTATAAAAATTATCAATTTAGCGGTTTTAACTGAAACTGACTAAGTTTGTCGACGTTCAATGAAAATGGAGTTAGATAGTTCTTTCGCACAATCATTGGATATAAATTACTTTTTCCATTACTTCTTAATTTTATTAAAAAGCAGTGTTTCTTATTTTCTCCAGAAACGTTTAAACCATGCGATCGGGTTTTATATACACTTCAAGGCTACCATAGGCAGTTGCGCCATCAAAATTTCTGAGGGGGGCATATTTTGACGGGTTTTTGAGCTTTTGAGGGGGAGCACATTTTAACGGTGTTTTGAATTTTCGGAATGAAAATTTTCAGAATAAGGATTAAGGGGAAAACATGGAACAGACAGCAGCATGTATAATTGCGTATGATCTATGCTTTTTCTAATTCTACTTCCCCTTGCTCTGATTTTAAGAAAACATGAGCAATAAAATATCTTGGGAGAGGAGGGCCACTCCTAGCCATGGGACATAAAAACTAAAACTATGAAGTTTTTCTGTATTTTTCCTCACCCCTTCATATATACAGGATGACTCAGTTTTTAATGGCCAAACTCTAGGGGATAATTCTAGACAAAATTTCCAACAAAAAAGTTCATTTTCATGCATGGACCTATTCTGAACGAAAAATGAGCCAAAACCAATTTTGTGTCTTCTTTAAGACGGTCACGTTTTTATTGAATAAGAAGAAATTTCTCAACAATTCAAGATAATTAAATTCTAATTACACCATCGTAAAGTAGACAAAAATTATTTGAGAGAAAATTGAATAAATTTACTAAGATCAATGCCTAAGGTCTAATACGACAGTTGGGGCAGCTGTTACAGTGCCCATACACGAGCATCATATCTCCGTATTCCCGACTTCGTATGCAGCAGTACAGAATTTAATTGCTTAAATATTTTTTGAGCAATTCCTTCGTATTCAATAAAAAATGTGACCACCTTAAGGAAGACAAAAATTAGTCTTAATTCCTTTTCCGTTCGGGATCGATCTATGCACCAAATGAACTTTTTTGTTAGAAATTTTGTCTAAAATCACCCCCTTACCCCTTCCTCCCCTCCCCGTGTTTGGCCGTTAAGAACTGAGACACCCTGTATATTGTTTGTCATAAGAACTAATTAGCTCTTTAACGAACAGAGCTCCTCCCCCCAACAAGGTGAAAAAAAAAATCGGTTGATGTACTGATTTTTGGTTCTCGTAATCAGAATGAATTGAATGAATGAAACTTGAAAATAGTTTTAAAAATATGAAAAATTTAGGCTCTACGACAAGGGAATTGAATTTTCGTTGGTAAAGATATACCATTGTCTTAGGGATCTTCTAGAAGAACTATCCTATATTTGCAGATTGTCTCAAATCCCAATGTTGCTGCTATTGCAGATTGCATTTTGAGCCAGGAAAGAAATACATGGTAAGCGACCACAAATTTCCGTTTTGGCAGGTGTGCGAAGTTCGCTAATAATAAGCAAGCGTTTAAGGAATTCTTCAATCTATTTTATTATAGATTAGTTTTATGAGTATTCTTGGGAATGTTACGTTTAACGATAAAAACAAAATTAATAAAAAATCGTACGATTATCAAACATTATCTTATAATGGATATATAATGGAAGGTCGGTGGAGATTTGTGAATCATAACGACCTCTTGTGAACATTTTCTTCGCCAATAAAAAAGTGGGCTACGTCTACTTACAAAATCAATAGGCTCAAAAAGAAAGGTTTTAAAGTTTGGTGTACGTTTTTTTTTTTTTTTTTTGAGTATTACAGCAATCTGTCTCTTGGACATTGGTTATAGTGAGATAGGATAACATTCACACTATATTTACAAAAAATATTATTATGAAATTATATATATATATATATATATATATATATATATATATATATATATATATATATATATATATATATATATATATATATATATATATATATTACAATGTTTTTTATAATTCGAATTTCATGACCTATTATTATCCGACTATAATTCATATCTTAAGTTTATATATATATATATATATATATATATATATATAATAGACAGCCAATATCTTATATTATATAAATATATAGCTGTTCTTTGAACCTATCGTTGGGGAAAAGTTGGCAAGATCTTGCATCTATTAAAGGCCGATAAACCAGACGACTAAAATGCCTGAAACGTCTATATAGGGAAAGGAGGTGATTTGTCAATATTTAAATTAACATTTGTTGCTTAGGTACACTAACTTTTGATTATTATTTTGCTTCTATTTATTGTATTTTTTTTTGTACATATAGTGTGAATCCTACCTCACTATAACCAATGTCCAAGAGACAGATTGTTGTAATACTCAAAAAAAAAAAAAAAAAAAAAAAGGTACACCAAACTTTAAAACCTTTCTTTCTGAGTCTATTGATTTGGTAAATAGTCATAGCCCACTTTTTTATTGGCGGAGAAAATGTTCACAAGAGGTCGTTATGAGTCACAAATCCCCACCACTCTTCCATTATATATCCATTATAAGATAATGTTTGATAATCGTACACCTTTTTTATTAATTTTGTTTTTATCGTTAAAAGTAACATTCTCAAAAATACTCATAAAACTAATCTATAGTAAAATAGATTGAAGAATTCCTTAAACGCTTGCTTATTATTAGCGAACTATATATATATATATATATATATATATATATATATATATATCTTTGTTCAACACCACGCAACAACGATACTGTGTAATAACTAACTTTACTGTGAAAGGATAGGCTACTACTTTTGGTAATGTCCAGGAGCACTCAACTTATTAGTAATAATTTTGTTTGTGATGGATCCAATAATGTAAAATTGTTTAAGTAAGATAATTTATACGACCACTAAAAAGTTCGAAGGGGTAGTTCTAAGCACCTGAAGCAGTTTATTTCATTAAAAAAATAAATACATAAATAAAATGTTTAAACAAACTAACGTTCTGTTGCAATTCTCGTTTTTTTTTTCCAATTTATATAAATGCGGCGCTTTTATATTTACGAAATAATTTGCATTACCATGATATTACCAATGGTCCAATTTTGGCACAAACGTAAATTTAACTCAATTATTAAGGGGGGCTGGAAGGGGGGTGTGTGGTGGGGATTCCAATCCTAAAATAACCAGTGTGTCTTTTCTGCTGTGTAGGACCTGGCATCCAGACTTCACGATGATAAGAACCTGAGTGAGCACCTCAAGTTACCGATCCAGCGAATCAACGACTACCAGCTACTGCTGAAAGTAAGTGCAATTTGGGATACATAGTTCAAAAAAGTAATTTTCTGGTAAAATTGTACAATTCTGAAATTTTTGCACAACTTTAGTTTTCTAATGGTAACAACATCCATTAACAACACAAGTCTGTAATCAATCACATTGAGTGAGGTGAACTTATTTTTTATTATAAAATTAATATTTGAATTCTGCCCAGAGTTTAAAACAACACTTATCAATTTGTCTAATCACAATTTTACTGAATTTTAAATATAAAAATATTCGAAGGATTTGGATTAAACATACATTTAGCAGTGTTAATATGTTAAATTCAGCATGTAACCCAAACCGCATCCCTTAAAAGCTTGTGTTTCGGACGCTTGGATAGTGATTGTTAAAAAGAAAGAATTAAAAAAAAAAAAATATGAAAGTGGAGGGAGAAGGGTTGAATTTTAAAACCTTGAAGTCAGAACTATTTTTACTGTGTACGACAACATAAACAAGGCTAATGTCACTCTTAGCTGACAGAGAACACGTAAATTTATTTTTTCTGTAAACACCGTTCACCTACTTACATATACACGGCTATATCGGTTTGTTTATGTAATACTGTTCTGTTAAAAACTCATAAGCGGTTAGAATAGATTATATATTTAGCATTGTATATTATTTATATTTATTTCATGAATACAAAATTTTAATTTAGGGATGGTTTCAAATTTCAATCCAAATAGGCTAATTTTTTTTTATTTTAATTTAGTAAATAAAATATTATAAAATAGCGAATAATATATTGTTCTTGAATCCTGTCCCTGAGACACGCCTAGTAATAACTTCACCTCATTTTACTGTGCCAAGATCATACACTTGTGCTACATACAGAATTGCAGCTAAAATGTGCAATAAATTTTAATGCATGCTTACTGTAAGTATATAAAATAGCTTTAAAAAGGCCTACGACATTCTTAACGTTAAAGGTTTTTCGAATAGACATAACTAACAGAAACCTGGCCTATATTTTTAAAATTACAAAAAAAAAAAAAATTAATAGGGTGAAAAAAGTATCCACTTCCAGGGTAAGATTATCAGCAATGAATTTAAAATAGAATAGAGAGACTTCAACTACATTCCGTGACCTCATTGTTCGACATTAATATATAAAAATTTGATATCACTGCCTTCCTTAAACAAGTTTTATAAAATGTTGTAATGCATCAGTAATACAGTCCTAAAGAAACAAAAAAATTAAAAAAGGATATTAAAAAGGAACAAATAATATATTATCTATTTATTATAATATGTAATCAATTAATTTTTTACTAAAATGTTATATATATATATATATATATATATATATATATATATATATATATATATATATATATAATTATTCCTTTAATTGAGGAGAAAAATGCATTCTTACAATTCTAAATCAATAACATTTATTTGTTTTGTTTTTTTAAAGTACTTCTTGTTTTTTTTTATTTAGTATTTTTTTTATAGACTCAAATATAATTCCAGACGATTTTCTAATATTTGTAATTTCAAAAAATTATTGCTTTAAAAATTTAAAAATTACATTATGTGATTTTTAATTTTTGTTGTTTTTGTTTTGTATAGCTCATACAATTATGTGTTTTATTTAAGTATTTTTTAATATTTCGAAATTATTATAAAAATTCAACATTTTCACTATTTTAAAATATATTTTTTTAAAATTAAATATAGGTCAGTGCCAATGTTTATTTTGCAATTAAAACTCATTTTTACCTTCATCACATAATTATATTCAGCATGAGATTTTCATTTATCCATTTACTATGTTAAATTTATTGTACATTTTATTATGATCATGATAAGACAGTAAATATATTTTCATATGATTAAATTATTTTTTTCTTATTTGTTTGATTCCATAATAAAGAAATAAAGTATTTTAGTATCTTCAATAAATTAATGTCAATAAAAACGAGATTATTAAATATCGTTATGCAAAGGAGTTAGGGATTGTTGATGCCAATTTGGTTGATCTATTTTAAAAAACAAGGAAGGATCTTGTATCCATCAATTTATTTTTATTTATCGACTTGAGAACTTGTTGAAGAAGAAAACAAATTGAGAAAAAAAAAGAGATTAATTTGATAAGTCAATACAATCAGCGTTATATATCATGCTATATTTAAAAACTTTTACATATTATTGCTGATATTGAATAGATGTTTATTTGTACTCTTTAAAAGGTATTGTTAGATTTCATTTTTAAGAATTTTGGATTTTAAGGTTCATATTTGCCGTAAGATTATGAGTATTCTTACGTCCGGATAGATTGTATTATTTTTTCGTAATATTTTAACATTTTTACGCGAGAAATGTTTTTTTTGTTATCTTGTAAAAAATAAATTCATACAAGTTAATCCCTTGATGCGATCTAATGAACCAAACCATGCAGTTGCACCTGATCAATTTACATTCACCCATCCCCTTAGTTGGTTGTCGGCCAAATAAATACATCTGAGATTTTCTAGGATAATGTTGGCGTGTGGGTGGCGCAGAAATAGAACTCTAAGTTAGTAGGTCAGAAGTCACTTATCTGTCTAGTTAAAAAAAAAAAATTCATTAATGAAATTAATTATTTATATTTTAATACCATTATAAATTATTTTAGTTATGCTAAAATAATTCTTATTATTTTGAGTTGATTTAAAAATTTTAAACAAACGTTTCTGTTGTTATATATTTTTTTGCGGTTTTTAATTATAAACATTTAAACGAAATTCATGACTTTTTTTCATCGATTAAAATTTCATTTTATAGAACTCGATTTTTTAATTGAATTTTATTTGTTTTTTTAATGTATTTAATAATATAAATCTTCTCAAAAGGTTTATAATATTGAACTTAAATTATTTAATAATTTTTATTTTCCAATTTTAATAACTTTTTTTTTTTAATCTTTTAACACATTTTTAAGCTGATTTTAAGTTGTTAAAATGATATTTTAATTAAAAAATGAAGGCATGTTTTCATAAAGTTCAATTTATAATTTATTGAGGAAAAAAAAACTTATGTACTTATTTGCAACAAGATCTTTTAAATTAAAAAGTATGTATGTGTGAAAATTACAACTTAAATTTAATCAAAAGTTTAAAAATTCATCTTCACATTTTTAATTTATTTCCCCTTTTAATAAATATCTATTATTTTTAATAAAAAATTTGGCCGTTAATTTTTATAAAATACCACGAAAAGTATATATTTTAAAATATTTAACAAGAAAAAAAGGTACACGGCGCCTAAGATAAAATTACGAAATGAACAGCTAAAAAATTCTATTTTAATCTTACTTGCTCGTCACTGAGATTTAAACGTTGATCTTGGCAAAGACCATTATATGACACACCTCACTGAATCGGGATAAATAAACAAATTAATGGAGAAGATAAGTCTAATAATGGAATGGACAGAAAAAAGATGATGATTCAGAAATATTGCAAATTTTCATTATTTATAATTGAATCGAAATATGACATGAAAATATGACATTATCATAAAACAGAAGCTTATGTGCGAGTAGCTAATGAAGACAATAAAGTAAACTCTCATAAAAATTGTTTTTTAATTATTTGACATTAACCCTTAAATTCTCTCAGGTTGAAGGTTATCAAACGTGAACATTTCGTTGAGTTTTTAAATCTTCGCAAATAGAAACTAATATTCAATCCATACATTTGAATTTGCAAAGCATTTATTTAATTTACTATCCATATTTTTAGATAATATATATTTTTACAAAAAAAAAAATCAAAACTAATTTATAAATAAAGTTTCAATTTAAATAATGAAACTAATTAAATTTCGAATTTAATAAGCAGAAATTAATTATAGATATCGGAGTTTACCGTCTCCGTTAGATGCATACAATATTTTATTGCTTTTTCCCGAATTATATATACATTCAATTCAATTTATTGGAATTTTTTTTTTATTTAGTAGAATTTTTTAAGCCGTATAGCGTGGAGAGTAACAATTGATAAATTAAATACGATTCTTTTATTTGTTAATATCACTAAGTTGTAATTTTTTTTTTTTTTTTTTTGAGCTTTCAGGGAGTCTGAAGTGCACTCGTTTTCAATAAATCTTAACCGGAATAACTTAAAGGAATTAATGAAAATCTTTTAAATATAATCAATTAAAATCTTCTGTTGAGTACTTTGGTATTTATTTAATAATACGATAATCGTTTATTTAATTACAAGAATTTTTCGTTTTGTGCAGAACAATGATTTTATTCAAAATTTTAATTCACTTTTCATTTCGACCTTAGATTTTAACAACATTAATAAACAATTTATGACGACATAGAAACCGATTAATTCAGTTGACTGATTAAGTGATTTTTAAATTGATTCGTATGTTGTAGTTTTTTGTATCTATGTTTTATCCATTTAATTAGAATGATGATTTAAGTTTATATTTTAAGAAAATGAGTACACAATATGTTAATAAATTATTGTAAGCTGAATAAATTTCAATGAATAAAATCATCCAAATTTCAGCGGCCGATATTATAGATTGTAAAGTTTAATATATTTTCATTAATGCCTCGAAACACTTTTTGATTCACAAGGCCAGTTTTGTATTTAAATTTGAACACCTAGATTTATGTTATGCTACATAATGAATAATATACAGCGTAAAAATCTAGATGTTTCTTTTTTTTTATTTTACGGAAGAAAAGTTATATTAATTGGCCAAAATGTATTCAGATTTTAATTTAAAATATATAAATACGATCACGTATATTTAATTTGATTTCAGTCATCATACGGTAATTTTTTAATGTGTTCTCAAATATTACATCTAGTAAATCCAGTTTTTGTTAGTAGAAATTAGTTTAAATTATAAACTAATATTCGCCTGTTTTTTTTTATAATTTTATTTTACAATATAATTTGTTTTTTTTATTGTGATATAAGCTGGATGTTTGGATATTAGAATTTTTTTTCACAAAATTATACACACACTTGAATATTACCGTTTATCAGTAAAAA